AAAAGGCAAAAACTACAAAGAAGATTGTGCTGAGGCTTGAATGTGTTGAGCCCAACTGCAGATCTAAGAGAATGCTGGCTATCAAGAGATGTAAGCATTTTGAACTGGGAGGAGATAAAAAGAGAAAGGGTCAAGTGATCCAGTTCTAAGACTCATCTTTTCTATTATGAAGATGGCAAAATCCTGAGGTGAATGTTCACCTCATTTGATTACAGTTGGTCTGTTTGTAAGGGAATAAAGTAATCAATAAAATTCCCCTTTTGGGGAAATTTGAAAAAAAAAAAAAAAAAGAATTATTTAGGGGACCAGCAGGTGGCCTGGTGGTTAACGTGCTGGCCACTCCCACATGGCTGACCACGGTTTATGTCTTGGACCTGGCAGCTTACTTTCTCACTTTAACTCTCTCTTTCTCTCAATGTCTCTGGTCAAATTAACATTAGTGAATGAATAAATAAAATTAAATTTTTAAAATTTAAAGAAAAAAATTATTGATTTAATTTCATTTCTTATTAGTTTATTTATTTATTTATTTACTTTGGAGAGGTTTTCGCTATAGGGCACATGTGCTTGCCAGACAGACAGAGAGAGACATAGAGACAGAAAGTGAGAAATCACCCCCCAGGGGGGATGATCACACCACAATCCCTTCTCCTCCATTCTCCTCTCGGGATCTTGGGAGGGCACGCATGCATCCGCGCCTGGCATGAGTTCTAAGCCACCGGGTCCGGGATGCGAACCATAGTCGACTACATGGGAGTCCAGTGACATAGCATTACGCTAATTGCTGGTTCCCATCTTCTTATTAGTTTTTTAATTTGACCTGAAAGAGAGAGAGAAAGGGAAAGTGAGAAAGCAAGTCACCAGGTCCAAGACTCAAACTGTGGTCAGCCATGTGGGAGTCCAGCGCCTTAATCACCGTGCCACCTACCAATCCCGAAATAGTGCTTTTAAATGTGTTTACATGTAAGCACAGTGTAAATGATAAATGTATATGTATTTTTTAAAGAATTTTTTAAAACTTCATTTATTTATTTACTTATTTTAGTTTGAATAGAGAGGGGCAGACAGGGGAGTGAGAGAGGGGTGGGGAAGTGAGAAAGCAAGCCACCAGGTCTGGGATTCAAACCACAGTTGGCCATGTGGGAGTCCAGTGCCCTTAACCACCATGCCACCTGCTGGCCTCAATAACTTTGAATTATTTTTAGGCTTTTAAATGTTTTCTTTTTCTTTAAGATTTATTTGTTTTGTTTTTGTTATTTTTCAATTTGGCCAGAGAGAGACAGAGAGAGAGAGAGAGCAAGCCACGCCACCTCGCGGCCCTAAAAGTATTTTAAAAAATTATTTATTTAATTCTACTTATCGTTGTTATTATTTTTAAAAATTTGTTCGTTAGAGACAGACAGAGAAAGAAAAGGAAAGTAAGAAAGCAAGCTGCC